GAGGTTCATGAGGTGTAATGGATGGAATGTCGGATGCATCACGGGCGCGAAGGCGAAATGCTGCTGCAGTAGGCGTTGAGGAGTTTGTAACCCTTGCGATCATCGGGTAGGCCCACAAACATGCACTTGATGGCGCGTGCATCGAGTTTGTTCGTTTGGTTAGCCTTTTGGATATGAACGAAGGCGGTGCAACCGAAGGTGCGGATGTAGGCGAGGGGTGGATGCCGGGAGAAAACTCGATGGTAAGGCGATTGACCGTCGTTCGAGGAGGAAGGCGAGATGTTATAGAGCCAGGCGGAGTAGATAACGGCTTCGGCCCATAGAAACTTGGGGAGATTGCCGGCCAGTAAAAGCGCTCGCATCTTCTTAACGAGTAAGCCAATGCGGCGTTCGGCCACGGCGTTTTGGGCAGGCGAGTAGGCGTTTGAAAATGTGGTCTTGGTGGAGTACTTCGGGCCGATGATGCGACCGAGTTTCTCGAATTCCTTGGCATTGTCGGCTTGTAGATTGCCGATGTCAGTAGGCGGTAGGTACTGGAGAGTGTTGATGTCGGTCTTGAAGGTTGTAATAGCTTGGAGGCGGAAGAGTTCGTAGGCGTCATAAAGGTCCTTGCGGAAGGCGAGTGGGTAGACCCAGGTAAAGCGGGAGTAGTCGTCGATAAACACGACGAAGTAGAAGCTGCCACCAATCGATGGCACTGGACACGGGCCCCAAATGTCGGTGTGGACGAGAAGAAGGAAGGAGGAGGCGCGGAAGACGGCTGCGGAGGAAAACTGTTGTCGACGAGACTTGGCGAATTCGCAAGTATCGCAGATGAAGGATTTGAATAGGCGTGGGCGATCGGTAGAGAAGTCGGGGTGGGTCTTGACGAGGCTTTGAAGAACGGTGGAGCTTGGGTGGCCGAGGCGGTTGTGCCAAAGGCGGAAGAGAGCTGCGTTAGATAGGCGTGTGGTTGAGGTGGTTGCAGTAGCCAGTGCAAGGGAAGGCGTTGTAGGTGTTGGAGTTGTAGGGGAAGGCGAAGATAGAAGAGGTTTGTTGGTAGATGGTGAGATGGGAGTGGACTGGATCGGAGTGATAACGTTGGAAGTGTGAGACAAGGCGTGTACTGGAGAAAATTTCGAAGTGCCGGATAAACAGGAAATAAGGGACGAGGCGTTGGGGTTGGGGGAGAGAGTTTGGTGGTAGGCGGTAATGAGAAATGTACAGCCTTGCTTGATGGAGACTTGAAAATAGTGTGTTTAGGCGAACGTCCAAAGTAAATAATATAGATGTGCAATTGATCGATTACTTCGGAGCGCGCCGCGGCTTGTACGGTAGACTCAAGCGTAGAGATGGAGGACGGAGTAGGCGTGGCGAAGTTGATATGGTATGGAGATGTATCACCAAGGGAAGGATGAGCAGCTAGGTTAGCCTGAAAGTCCATGATGGCAGCTGCAACAGTAGCAGGAGGGTGAGGCGGAGGGTTGTTGGCTAGGCGTGTGTAAGGCTGCGCCGGAAAGGAGTAGAGTCCCAAGGCGTTAACTTGGGCACGCAAATACAGTCCACGACCGTTGTCCATGAGGCAGTGCGATGGATGCGAGAAGTCGAAGTAGCAGCCAGCTTGCAAAAGGCGTGAACACAGGCGAGGGAAAAGCACCACTTGACAACATCGATGCTTTGGTCTTCGAAATACTGTTTCGTAACGTTAGCCGTATGTGTAGCACTGCGGGAGGAAGCGTATGTAGCTGAGGGCAAAAAAAAGCACAATGAATTAACTGAGGATCTACTAAGATCTCCTTAGTTCTCATCACTATGAAATCTTCTTAGTCTACTTCACTACTTCTACACTAATATGCACATTTGTATACAATGGATGCGGGTGTGGTTGAGACATTGGGGGACTTCACTAAGCTAGCGATTCTAAGCCATACATGCCCTTGAGTCACGTCCCCAGGCAAGCATTAGCTATGGTGCGTCATGAACCAGGTACTTATGAGCTGGGCACTGGCAAGGTGGTGGCAAGGTGTTACCCCTACCTGTCGCATCGCTGCATTCTCCCCCTAACGTCTTTTACACCTTGAAACGCCTTGACTCCAAGTCTTGGACGAGTTGCTTGAAGTGTACAACATGCGTGATGTCCTTTATCAGTTCCCACGTGGTGTCTATGCCACTTAACCAAGTATTCCTACTTGCAATTGAACTGGCGCTTCTTGAGCAGTTTCTCGACAATGTACATTTCTTCGCCGGTGGATTCGTCTATAACAATAGGAGTAGCTTTCAGGATAGGTCGGGGGGCAAACTTGGCTTCGTTGGGGTGATAGTGCTTAAGTCGATCAACGTTGAACACGTCATGCACACCTGAAATCGAGCGAGGCAACTTGAGGCGCATGGCGTTGTCATTAATGGCTTGGACAATCTTAAAGGGACCGTTGAAATGTGCAACCAACTTGGGACGCTCGGACTTGTCGAGCATCTGGGCATGCTTTAAAGGCAGGTTGCGAGCCGCTAACAGCACTTGATTGCCTTCCTTGAAGGTCACGTTCGAGCGGCGCTAGTCATAATATTCCTTCTGATGTTGTTGGGCCTTCGTCAAATTCTCGTGAACCATCCGAATGACTTCCTTTCGATGTTTTGCAACATTCTTGGCAAAGTCATTCTTGGGCAAGGAAACGCTCACGGCAGGGTTGCGCAAATTGCGGCATGTGTCGACTTCGAACGGCGTCAAGCCGGTTGATGCTTGGACCAATCCTTGGTGGGCATACTCGATCGTTGGCAAATGGTCGACCCAGTCTTGTCCTAGATATGACACTTGATATCTGAGCGCATCTTCGAGAGTTCGATTCTGGCGCTCACTCGCTCCATCGGCTTGAGCTCTCCCGGCGGTGGTCATGGCTTGGCGGATACCCATAATCTGCATGAAGGACTTCCAAAACGTGCTTGTAAACTTGGGGTCACGGTCGCTGATGATCATTGCTGGTAGTCCATGGTGGCAAACAACATGTTCGAAGAATTTCTTCGCCGTTTGGGGTGCATCGACATCTGATCTCGTCGGGATGTACTCTTGGAGAGCTTGTCTAACACGACCAAAATAGCATCATATCTTTTTGACACTGGTAAACCGGTGATCCAATCCGTTGAAACAGTTTGTCAACACTCTTCCGGCGCGGGAATGGGAATCATCTTGCCATTTGCACGCAGACTGCTCGTCTTGTATCGAATGCATGTTTCGCAAGTCGCGACGTAGAACTTCACGTCTTGGGCAAGCGTGTTCCGTTAGTACGAATGCGCTACACTTAACATTATACGTCGAGTTCCAGGGTGCGCGGCAGTGCTTGAATAGTGCGCGTGAGATAAAATCTCGGCGCGTAGCACGTCACCGTTGGGGACACATAGCTTCCAAACTTGGTCTTGGCTTCGGAGAAAGCAGAGTCCTTCCTTCCACTTGAAGGCTTCACGTTTCATGGACTTTGTCCCTGAGTCCATTGCGTATGCCTTCACAAAAGTTCCTTGGTTTTGGTGTCCATCTCGATGGTGCTAAAGAACACTTGCTCCGAGTGGTTCACCGTTAGGCGTTGAGGCACTAGCACTCCGTTTTGCTCCGCGAAGTCGGGGATGAACTTGCGGTAGTACCTGGCAAGACCGACAAAACTAATGACACCTTTGCTTGACTGAGGCTCCGGCCATTTTTCGATAGCACGGATTTGGACTGGTCCACGTGGAGGCCATCTTTCGAAATGGTGTGACCCAAAACGTTGACAGAGTCGACACCAAACGAGCACTTGGAAGGACGCGCGTATAGCTTCTCGGTGCGAAAAACAGTGCAAATTGAACGCAAATGATCAGCGTGCTCTTCGATCGTCCGCGAGAACACACAAATGTCGTCCGTGTACACCACGACAAAGTCGAACTTGTCAAACAATCGACGCATAAGGCGAGACCAAATGCCTGGCATGCCTGCCATACCCATTGGGGTCACTACCCATTCATAAACATCGCGATGGGTCCTGAAGGTGGTGTACTTCCTTGCTGATGACATCACGAGCATTTGGTGGTAGCCTGACGCCAAGTCGATCTTCGTAAAGACTCGGCATCCGTGGATGCGGTCAAACACATCTTCAATGTTGGGTAGCGGGACCTTTGGCACAATGGACTGAGAGTTGACATGGCGGTAATCCAACACCCATCGTGTAGGGGTATCTATCAGGCGTGGCGGTACGAAGCCACTCACGGCGTGAAAGCATCTGACCATCATCACTGGGAACACCGAAGATGTTGGATACCCAGTCGCTGTTCGAGAGCTCGATCCAGCCCTTTTTCAACAGATCGTCGCCGAACGTGTCCAAAGAACCTACCTTGGACAAACGGACCGGGGGTCGGTGCTGGGGCCTCACGTCAGGCTTCATTGTCAAATCGAACTCAATCCCACGAGGCGGTGGTAACGTGTTGGGTAACTTGTCGGGAAACACGTCACGAAATTCATCCACGACCCTGGCCACGAGCGGGTGTAACTTCTGCGGAGGTTCCGTTTTCGTCGTGACTTTAATCATCCATCCTTCGATTCGTGCAGGCTCGACTTCACTTGAGTTGATGTTGCGGATTTGGTGGGTACGCCAGTCGATGACAGGGTTACAACGAAAGAAACAGGGTTTTCCCAATATGACGTCAAAGCCCTACTTCCCCAGATTCCGCTCGGTAAGTATAAGATCCGGGAACGTCCATTGACCAAAACAAAGTGTGCCAGATACTTCCTTCACTTTCTTAGTGCCAGAGCAGTGCCCATCGAAGCCTTCTGCTCGAACTTCCTTGGAACGGATCACTGTCTTGGCCAAACCTGGGCGGCAAAGTAATTTCGAGGCACCAAGAGAGTCGATCAGGATGCGAACGCTTGGGCTGTCGAGTGCGCCATGAACTATCATCAACTTGTTTTCACGCGCTGGCACCTTGCTTGCTTGCTGGGTGGTACTGATGTTAAGTGACTCCTCCTCCCCAGAGTCTTGCTGGGCTAGGTCCATGTTGTTGCCTAGGATCACTTCTTCAACGTCATCGTCGCTGTCTTCTGTGTCGCTGTGGACTTCGGTTAATTGGGCATTGTGCTGACGACTTGGTGTATTGCGCTGGGGTCGCTGAGGCCGGTTGGCATGTCTTGAGATGTTGTTGCGCTGGGGCTGGGCTTGGCTTCTTCCTTGATTGCTCCGGGGTGGAGAGCGGCAGTCACTGATTCTGTGGCACACTTGCGTACAGATTCGTCGGAACTTGGCAACATACTCGGTCAAGCTCGCACAGTGTGCTTGCTTCAGTTCGTAAAGCTGATCACGCAGCCGATTTTGTAAATCGTCGGGTTCAAACTCGGCTTGCAGCTCTTCTTCTAGTTCAATGAGGGTGCTTGGAGAATCACCGCGCGAAAGGCGTTCTTGGTACCAGGCTACGGCAAAGCCACAGAAATTTGCCACCATCGTGGCAATGCATCGCTGTTGAGTCCCATCGTTGTCTTGGTAATCCACGTTCTTTGCATTGATAAATATCGTAACTTGGTGGATGTATAGGCTAATACTTTCGTCCATTCGTCCATAATACTTAGGCATTTTTAATCCTTCAACTTTAAGCTCTGTTTGTCTTGTCGGTCGTTCGATGTGTTGACTGGCCATTCGCTCGTTTGCTTCCACTTGAGCGGCTTGGGTACGGGTAAGCATTTCCAACAGCTGTTCATGTCGCTGAAAGGATTCTGCCATTGTGCGCAAAACTTCATCCATCTTGTTATTCTGGTGAAATTGAATTAATCTACTTCGAACTTCGACCTACTTGCTTCAGCCTTGATCTTGCGGGCCTTGTGGTACACTTGGATCTTGCGGTCGAGGACTCCTTCAATCAGTTCTTCGGTTTGGTCGTTCCGGTGGATCAATAAGTCTGTGATCTATTGGATAGCGTTACGCGCGTCGGATTTCTTCGCTTCGGGGATCTGGGCACGCAACTTGTTGATAACCACGCGTTGGTGACGGGTCAACACGCGAAGGTCTTGGCGTAGCTTAACCGGCAGATCCGGACAGTCGAATAATTGGCCGATGTTTTTCGTGGCCGCGAGTTGGGACTTGAGGGTCTTGCTACGGGGTATACACTAGCAGTTCACTCAGAACGTGTATGGATTTTGTTGCTGAGACTATCACCAGGTAACGGGTGGCAAAGACCACGTTTTTAAAACCTTTGGCGATGTGTAGTCTCTGCAACCGTCTAAGAAGACTGGCTACGTACAGCGGGTTGACGGAGCTTGGGAACCGTCGGGTTCAAACTCGGCTCGCAGCTCTTCTTCCAGTTCTATTAGGGTGTTTGGAGACTCACCGCGCGAAAGCCGTTCTTGGTACCAGGCTGCGGAAAGGCCACGGAAATTTGCCACCATCATGGCAATGCATCGCTGTTGAGTCCCATCGTTTTCTTGGTAATCCACGTTCTTTGCCTTGAAAAATGTCGTAACTTGGTGGATGTATAGGCTAATACTTTCGTCCATTCGTCCATAATACTTAGGCATTTTTAATCCTTCAACTTTAAGCTCTGTTTGTCTTGTCGGTCGTTCGATGTGTTGACTGGCCATTCGCTCGTTTGCTTCCACTTGAGCGGCTTGGGTACGGGTAAGCATTTCCAACAGCTGTTCATGTCGCTGAAAGGATTCTGCCATTGTGCGCAAAACTTCATCCTTCTTGTAATTCTGGTGAAATTGAATTACTCTACTTCGAACTTCGATCTATTCTTGCTTCAGCCATGATCTTGCGGTCGAGGACTCCTTCAATCAGTTCTTAGATTTGATCGTTCCGGTGGATCAATAAGACTGTGATCTCTTGGATAGCGTTGCGCGCGTCGGAGTTTTTCGCTTCGGGGATCTGGGCGCGCAACGTGTTGATAACCACGCGTTGGTGACGGGTCAACACGCAAAGGTCTTGGCGTAGCTTATCCGGCAGATCTGGATAGTCGAATAATTTGGCGATGTCTTTCGTGGCCGTGAGTTGGGGCTTCCGGGTCTTGCTACCCGGCATACACTAGCTGGTCACTCAGAACGTGTGTGGATTTTGTTGCTTAGACTATCACCAGGTAACGGGTAGCAAAGACCAAGTTTTCAAAACCTTTGGCGAGGTGCTGTCTCTGCAAACGACCACACAACTGTCTAAGAAGACTGGCTCCATACGGCGGGTTGACGGGGCTTTGGGCGAGGGAACCAGGAAGTGCTACCAATTGTAGCACTGCAGGAGGAAGCGTATGTAGCTGAGGGCAAAAAAATGCACAATGAATTAACTGAGGATCTACTAAGATCTCCATAATTCTCATCACTATGAAATCTTCTTAGTCTACTTCACTACGTCTACACTACAGTAATATGCACTTTTGTATACAATGGATGCGGGTGCTGTTGAGACATCGGGGGACTTCACTAGGCTAGCGATTCTAAGCCATACATGCCCTTGAGACACATCCCCAGGCAAGCATTAGCTATGGTGCGTCATTAGCCAGGTACTTAGGAGCTGGGTGAGGGCAAGGCGCTACCCCCACCTGTCACATCACTGTAGTATGAATGCTTGCACTATCTTGCTGAAACGCAGATTCAGTGCCAAAACAGAGGTAGGCAGCAGATAGCATGTACTCACTGAGCGTATAAATGTAGTCACCAGCGTTTGCGGGCCTTCGAGGAACGCAAGTTCAGTTGTCCCATCGGCCCAAATTCCCCCCCATTCCATGATGGACCCATCACCATTTTGATGGCTGAACACCGTCTTCACGTTGAGCCCAACACAATGCCAGTAGGACTTAAGGCCATTGGGTCCATCCAAGCTCCATTTGTTCTCGTCAGAGAACACAACGGCACCCCACTTGGAAATACCCAATTCGACCATTTTCATCGCCCATTTAACGCGGTTTTTCATGTGTTCCTCGGTGAGTTTGGGTGCCTTGTTCATCTTGATGAACTCAAACTTTTTCGCCGAGAGTAGGTACCGTGCAATAGTTGTCTTGTCGATGCCAAGGTTGAGCTGGTCGTTCAGTTTGGCGCAACTCAACGTCTCGTTGATGCTGATGCAGTGAAAGCGGCGCTCTTGTTTTCGCGTTACTTCTTCGGACGACCTTTTTTATAGCGCTGGCCGTAAGTGGTAGAGTCTTTGAGAAATTTGGCGATGGTTACGTGATAGCGGTGCAGTCTACGACCGATTTCGCGAGCACTGAGGCTCTCGGCAGCCCACGCTAAGGCCTGACCTTGCTCGACAGCGCTCAGATGAGTCCCAAGACCCATTCAATGACACAGGAGTGAGATTTCAAGTGTATTGGGTTCCTTTACAACTACTGAGTGGACTCCGTGCGAATTGTGGTCGTCCACGTGGCACAAAAGTGCATGGACGTGCTTGTCACCACGTGGTTATAACCATTTGCATTGGTGCCAAAACGTATTTTTTTGTTAGTATCGGAGTCGACCACAGCTGAACGTTAATGCGAATAACCGTCGATGGACAATGGCTGCTGAGATCGACGGCGCACAAGGTCGTTGTTCCACTCCGATGCAGTGAGCAGGTGCTCCGTGGTGTTGTTGTCCTCGATGATCATGTTGTGCAAACAAATGCAAGCAAGCCACACGACGCGCATGTGGTCACGACTCCACAATTGGCTGGGATTGGCCAGAATGTGATACTTTCATGTCGTTCACAATAACGTTAGTACTTTTCCTTCTCCGTTGAAGGACTACTCAGACTTTTCTGAAACGTTGTGTGTGATGGATAAATTCCATCAACCAAGAGATAAAACATATCGAACGAAATCCCATTGACCTAATTCACAATATTGTACGATTAATGCAAGACAAAATGTTAGAGGCAAAATATGTATTTATTTGTAAGAGTAAAGCAAGCAAAAATACTCGGGCTAAAATATACTTACCGAAAATCCATCAGGGATGTTGCAAGTTTAGCCAGTTTCACCATCAGTGTCGAACGGTCCAAAACGTTAATGTCATTTTTGGACCCTGGAACCCCCAGAAACGCATGCCAAATCCACAGATCTTGCGTCGCAATCGCTCCCAATATCATAGACCGCTTGCCGTTGCGGTCTTGATATTGACCTTGCCAGGCAACAGGGCAATTTTTTCACTCCAGTGGGTGCAATCGATAGAGCCAAACATTCCAGGGAACCACGACTTTCGTTCCGGTTGAGATGTTTTTCGATGGCTGTTGATTCACGAAGGCGACAGTACTCGGCGGTCAAGTCAGCGCAGACGCCATAGGCCAGTATACGCATCGACACAGTGCAATTTTGTAATGGTGACAGACCTATGTCATGCCATGATTACCTAACTTTCCGAATGCGTCTGGTGTTTGGACAAAGTATTATCCGCAGCAGCCACGGTATACCAACTAGCCGCCGCATACGTTCCTACATGTCTGCCGCCGGTTTCAAATGATCGGAATACGGAGTCCTCGCTTAATATCAAACCGGCGGCAGACATGTAGGTACGTATGCGGCGGCTAGTTAATACCAAGAACGTCGTGCACGAGATCAAAATGATCCATCTCATGGAACCCCGCCATGACGAAAGCCAGCGTGCTAACTGTCCTGCCGTGTACGTAGATGGTTACCCGTTTTCACCAAAGTAGTCGTCGATAATCTTCTGGTGCCCACCAGCCTGGTTTCGATCGATGTTTGGCTGGCGACCGCGACGAAACCCGCTCCATGACCGAAAGTACACAGCTGCGGCTTTGCGGACGGCTTCTTGGGCTGTCGTACTTATGATGGCATCGATTTCCTCGTCGGACGAATCCATCAGTTATTCGACAACTGCATGAGTCGGTCATTCCATCGCATATTGTTGTGGACTTCGAAATGACCATGCACATATTATCTATTTATAATGTAATAATTTTCGCAGAATTGCGGTTAAAAAGTCAGTGTCTCCATGCGAACGAATATCCTTCACACTCAAAACTTATTGAATTTAATGCTGAATATGAAACTAAAAAGGACTCAGATCCAGGGTCAAAATCCGTGTTCCGGTGGAGATGCTCTTAGTGATGAAATTTGCTTGAGGATTCGTCCAAGTGGCTGACTTGGGAAATGTTAAGATGCTAACTTAACGTATAGCTCAAAAAGGTGAGTTCGGTACTGCAACTTTCACGTCGAGATAATTTGAACTTCGCCAGATATGGTCGATTGAATGGAGCTCAAAATCGGCAAATCACTGATCTGTCACATTATTTCATGTTGCCAGGCAGGCCCTCAATATTTTGCCGAATATTGCGTTTTTCGCCAAAACATATAGAAATACGTTCAAGGGACTTTTTTTTCTTAAATTGGCAAGAACTGAAAATCGTAATTTTCTTTCGAAATATGTTTCATCGACACAGTAAAACATTGAACCCTTGAACGTCTTCTATATTTTTGGCGAAAAACACGAAATTTCGCAAAATAATGAATTCTCGAAATTTTGGATCCAGACAGATAATTTTTCATTTCTTCTAAATTGCCAAAATATCGAAGATTTTGGCCTCTATTTTTACATCCAGACTCACCCTATTAATACAAATACTCCGAAGTCATCTTAAATTGTACTAACTTACTGTTAGTACTCGGAGTATTGGACAAAGCGGTGTAAACGATCATAATTACACTTGCAAGTATGCATACTACGTAGTAACAAGTTACGAATCGAATTCAATACTCCTGCATTTTTTCGTGGACTATAACTTGTAGGATTATAGTCTGACTGAGTTACATGCCTTCCCCTAAAAAGAAAATGTGTTCTTAACAGTAAATTGGTCTGTTACGTTAACGATATAACAGTATACTACAGTGGTTGAGTGTGGTCAGAGAATTAATTTGTCGCCCTCTGGTGCATCAAAGCCATAACACGTTGTCTCCACGGCAAGAAACGCGCATGCTTTTGTTTGATGATTTCGCGCTGCACGTACGCATCCTTCTGGCCGTCTTCGATGCCCGTCACATCGACACCCTTCAAAGCCGCGAACTCATCCACACTCACAAACCCGGTGGCAGGTCGAAATATGTGCGACACATGGCTGACAGAGCGCATCAAGATGTGTGTTGGCGATACTTGTCGCACCTCGGTCCTACATGCAACGAAAAAGCTAAGTCTACCGTCCACAACAACCCCCGAACTAAGTACGCACCACGACATGACATGGTGCTGCTTTTGGAGGGGAAGGCACGCATGGGCTTCGTCGTGTTCGACTTGGCACATGACCTTGACCAACCGATCTGCTTCGACGAAGTGTCCTTGGAGAGCGTTCACGAAGATGCCTGTGGGTGTGGTCGTGTGAATCAGGCGTGTGTTGGATGTGACCTCTTCCACCACCTAACCAAACACAAAGATCAGGTTGACCCTCCATTCGTCCGACTAAGTACTTGCCGTTTGGACATAATTGGGGACATGCATCGCCTGCATGTTGGTCTCGATCAAGCGTCGAAACATTTGCACCGTTCCTGGCCACGTGAACTGTATCCGCTCAATCCACGTAAACGGATCGTTGAGCTCGTCCGACGCTTGAAAGTCAAATTGGTAAAAATCCTCGTCATAGCCCACAACAGGAAATAACGCGAACGGCTCGTGCATGTTGTGGTACATTTGCTGCGTGAGCCACTTCTTGCCCAGGTTTCGAGCCCTCGGGTCGGCCACCAACGTCGCACTGTGCCACGCATTGCTGCGGGACATGGCTGGCTACATCCAAAAGACGCAATGATTTCACTCGCCTGCCTCTATGGAAATGTGAAAACGCACCGGAATATTCGTCAAAACAAAGCGTTGCATGGCCTTCGTGAGGGATTCCAACTCTTGCGTTTGAGTGACCAGTGACTGGCGGTCCCTCAAGACCTGATGGACTTCTCTTTTGAACACCATGGCAATGGAATGCCAGGATAATGGACCATCGCTTGCTTCACGCGGCACCTTGGACGACGTCCTGCCTGTTTTAAGACGGACAAGGATCGACTGAAGGTGCGCGCACTGTGCTTTGATAGTCGTCTCGTCAGCAATCATCTTGCGGTGATACTCGCGACGCTTCTCTCGAAAGTACTGACGCCGAGGGGGAATTTTGTCGGCAATCTCGTACGTAGAGGCGGCACTGTTGGACGACATGCTTGTCTTGACTTCTGCCCGATGCGTGGTACGGATGTACAATCTGACCTTCGCGTGTAGACAATTTAACATTCATATGTATGCACCTCTTCTTGGTTTGACGATTGATTGGCTGGCTTATACATTTAATTTTCTTGAGAGCTTACAGTTAGCACCGGTACAGACAGTGTAACGGTTAGGGCAGAACGTACAGTTTGAAGACAACAAACTCCAACTCTCGACTCTCCCATTCCAAATTAATCCGCTACTAGTATGGAGGAGATTTCCCAATGAGAAATATTCTCGTTGGCAGGATTAGCCAATTAAATCATAGTATTTGGATTGAGTTCAGAGCAAGATAGCCAATCATGAAAAGGTAACCCAAATCACGCCATTCTATTGGCTCTGCCCTTGAGAATATTTCTCATCGGGAGGAAGGCCGGAATATTAATAGCGATTCTGAGTATATTATTACGCTTAGGTTGAACTTGTGCATGAGAAATATTCCCATCGACCGCTTTACATAGTTTAACCGAGATATTGTCCTTTTCACCTAAATTTGGACTGGGCAGTTTATTTGAGAAATCGACCCGAAGCACAATTGTATACCATACAATGTATACCATACGAAAATTAAATATAAATAGTTCAACTGGGACAAATGTGTGAAAGCCTTGGACTGGGCTAGCATTGGTTGGGATTTAGGATTGAAGAAATTTCATTTGGCTCGTTGATTCCCTGCGTTTGGGCTGCCTATATTCTCTATTCTGCTATTCGATTGGACTACCCACTCCAACTTCGAATCGAATGCATAATATTTCTTATCTATGCTTGACTTGCGCTACTGGGAAAGGTATATTTGGAACAGAGGAAATACTGTAGCGTTTTAGGCTACGCTCATCGTTGTACAGTACCTCATTCTGGCGTTTACGACTGGCAATGCAATGAAGAGAATGGGATAGCTACTGTATCCCCGTATGCGTGCGTCGTGTGATTCAGTGATAACTACACCATTTTGCGTTTAATTTCAGCTTTTTTTCAAAACATTTCCACCAACGTCCGATATATTTCACCGAATCACCAATATAATTCACCCAACCTCCATTATATTTCACGCCGAATTGACAGTGAAATTTGGCCATTATATTTCACCCAACCTCCGACATAATTCACCCAAAAACTGTTAATGTTACCTTTCGAAAATATATTTCACCTGACCACTGGAAAGTAAATTAAAACCAACACATCTACGACATCTACGGCTCAAGCACCAACGTCCATGTCTTTCATATTCTCAGCGCGGACATAGAACGGTTCAAGGCGGGCCGTGTACGATTCGGCTCAATTCTTAATTCATTGTTGAGTTAAATACGATAAATGCACAGAATATCTGCAATTGCCTCGTCAGCTGTGTGTTCCTAGTATTGCATGCAAAACACATTACGAGTCTGTCCGTCAGGCGGTGGCCCCATAAAGGCTGCGACTCGTTCGCGCAAAGATGCTTAATGCGGCTCTTCAACGCCGGCCACATATTCTCGATCGGGTTCAACATCGGGGAGTACGGCCCTAGTTTTAAGAACAAAGCGTCTTGAAACTTCATGTTAGCGGTCAACAGAGAGACGTACCGGAGTTTGTGGTGCAGGGATGGCCTCTTCCATAGAGCGCAGATTCAAAAATGCTTCGATCTTTCTACGGTAGAATCCCAGCCCGAATTATAACAACTGCTACAATTATATTTTCTAAAGTTGGAATTAACCGTAGGTTGGGTGAATTATAACAGAGGTTGGGTGAAATATATCGCCGATGTTTTACATCAGCATGAAATATAATGGAGGTTGGGTGGATTATATTGGCGATTCGGTGAAATATATCGGAGGTTGGTGGAAATATATTGAAAATAAGCTGGAATTAAACGCAAAATGGTGTACTATTATATTTAATAGTAACGTTACTATTATTATTAATAATAATAGTACTAATAGTACTACGGAACCTGTCATGACTCATGGATGGACATTGTGTGTCCTCCAAGTGTTTTCAAGACCTCAATTTTGTCGAACATCATTGTGTTCTCTCGCGCCAATTCATACTGTACAGTACTGCGCTTGCCATGGGGTAGTGTGAGCTTGTGCCATCCTATCATTGTCGCTTGGTCTATCGAGAAAGCAAAACGAGAAAGCAAAGGTCTCGGATATATGCTGAGATTCAAATAAGCAGCGCTAAGCATTCCATCTGTGATGTACGGATAGCAGGCAATGGAGTCACATACAGTAATTGCCGAAAAAAGTGGGAAAGTAGCACAAGGCATTTATATAGGAATTTGTATGAACAGTATTTATTACATTGGGTGGAAGTAAATATAATAAACTTACTAAGTATATTCTGATTGGTCGTTTTAACCGGCATTTTCACCAATGACAGGATATCCAAAAATAGAATTGGTGTCCATGATCGATATACTACGTAATAATGAGGATGATAAAAAACAGTACATATACGAAGTTACCTCACATGTAAATTTCTGCCCGAACTGGGAAGTATGGTATTAACTGTAAAAAGCAAACTTTATCATACATTTCCATAGAGTGGAATCTACAAGGCACCCGACTGGCCCAACCGGGCATGCGACGCCAACTGCGCGAACGGTCCCCCGTCGGTGGCCAAGAGGGCGTGGGGGGCGTCGTACTCCACCACTCGGCCTTGATCTAACACTAAAATGCGGTCGCTGTCCAGGATCGTGTCGAGGCGGTGGGCGATCACGAGCATCGTGACGCCATCGAAG